CTCTCTCTCTCTCTCTCTCTCTCTCTCTCTCTCTCTCTCTCTCTCCCTCTCCCTCTCTCTCTCTTGTGCGCACGCGCGCAACGCGAAAAAAATACTGACATCCGGATAAATGAATTCTTTGAGAATGCTCGAAAGTAGGTCCTCTTTGGAAATTTAATTCTATTACATAGTTACAAGATAATCTCTTTATATCAACTCATTAAAGTCGTAAGTCTAACACATATATGGTAAACTCAATACTTAATACGTCTTACGTGTACATGTTTATTAATACGTAATTACTCTACCTAATCGTTGTTAAACAGGGAATATAACATGCACTATATTTACATTTACGGTAACAAGAAGCCTTTTAGTATCTTTATTAAACGCAGGAAGGATTATACCGAAAGCAACGATTAAGACTGTTTTGCATTTACATGATATGAACGTGTGGAACAATAATAAAGCGACGGATCGCGTAAACGAGAATAAATATCACATTAATTCTTTGTCACGTCACACTGCTATATTGTGTTGTGACCGGAATGCAAAATGACAGAAGAATAAGGGTAGTATGTCAAGGGTGATAATTCTCTTTCTCGTCTTCTGTCTCTATCCTTGGATCCATGTAATGTGAATTCAAAGCGAATAAAAAAACAAAAGTTCAGAAGAATAGATGCATTAAATATTATCGTGAACCAAAATTCAAGTCATTATTTTAAAAGTTTAAAACGTTAAATAAAACTTATTTTTGCATAAAGTATTAATAAATCTGAGTAATGTTTTTGCAATATGTATAATAATATTGACTATTGTGTTCAATTTAGAATATTGACAATAAATTTATTAGCAGTTATTGAAAAATAAGTAATGAAATCTAATTGATACATCAGCTATTCGTTCGCAAACAGACTAACCTTATTTCAAACAATAAAAATGTCCAACACAACTTACCAAAAATTATATATTAATGTTTTATATTACAAATGATTTTATTAATATTTCACAACAATTATCACGTTCAAATAAATTATCATGTATAATCAAGAGTTGTCATTAGAATAAATTATTTTATAATAAAAAGTTTAAATAAGAATCTACAAAAATATAATAAAATTAAGAATTCATTCAAGTACTAAAAATATTATAGCGAATTAATATTGTCTAATTAAAGAGAATTGCCATGATTTCACTAGTTATATTTACAGTTATATCCCACAAACATTTCGAACTGTTTATACATCGCAATTATCCATAAATATGCCAACAGAAATGTCCTTGATTGACGTACCAAACAAATATTCAGCTATGATTGATGCTGCAGATTACGTATACGTATTTGGATTTCAAATATGAAAGGTATTATCGATTTCATATTAAATAAAATCAAGCTGCTTCAAATATGAACATTGATCTAGTCAGAGATCACAGATTTCAATAATCTCAAAACTACTAGATATGCATATTCGTATGCAAACTAAAATATTATAATTAATTATATATATGTATAAATCCATCCTTTATATTGGCAATAATATTAAACATCAAACATGGATAATTGGATTTATGTTTACAACGACCATAATCGTCCATCATCGATATCATACTCGATATGTGGATCTTAGTAGGTATTCAGAATTCTGTAATTTTTCCACATGGACTCATTATGAATGTGCATGAATCCATTTAATGTCACAAGACAAACTTTATTCACTATCCGTATCGGTATATAACAACCCAGAGAATAACACATTTATCTCACTGTCGCCGACCTTGTACCTTTGACGAACATCTATGCATTCGAAGTTTTAACCAGGCCAAAGGCAAATATCGACGTAAGCGCCTTTTCGATAAGGCTCTGCACGTATGCATAACAGATATATGACACAAAGCAACTTCCAAAAAAACTACGATATTGCGTGAATATTTTCTATATGCCAGAGAAATAAAAAAAATTGTATAAAACAATATTTATGGAAATTTTCTCTAAATAAAAAGTAGAAAGATATGTAACGTTAAAAATTGTATTTGTGTTAAAAATATAAGAAGCTTTAAAAATTCTTTTTTTATTAACTTGAGTAAAAATAATTTTGTTAAAAAACATAATATAAAAAAAATGTTAAAAATATATGCAAAATAGAGAAAAAGTAACTATAATTGGTTAAAATAACAGTAAAATTTTTATCATTTATTTTTATTGCCTTATGTAAGATTTTGCTACAGAAAAAAATTAATTAGCAGACAACAAAATCTCTCAATTTTAAAATTTTTATATAACATTTAATAATAAATTTTTGTATGTTTAATAATACTTCTTGCTTTCTCTTTTATAAATTATAGATAAATGCAAATTCATTTTGTTGATTACCAAATACTATGATTATGTTCAATTAATATTATAATTATAATAATAAAATTATAATAAAGAACAGGAAATGTCATATATCTTTAAAAGAGGTATATGTAATATAATATATATAATCTATAATTATGTAACATAACACATGCTTTGATCTATTATAATTATTTAATTTCCATTAATAATATCATAAATATGATTATTAAATTTTACTGTTCCAACGATATACTATTTGCAATTCATTACAATTATTGTAATAAATATTTAATTTTTCAATTTCCGAGACTAATGAATTAATTGACAAATCTTGAATCGTATATAAATCGTATATAAGTATAAAAATTATAAATATAGTCACCTGGCAGTTCGAGAAAATTCGAAGTTCTCCGTTGTCGGCCTCTTGGATGATTGCTGAAATTCAATGGCCCCACATCTTCATTGGTAACATTGGACATGTTGGAACATTGACTATCGCGACTCCCGCGTCTCGACGCCAAATAAGCTGCAACACACTCACGCACGAGAGCTTCGTGAAAAGTCAGTTCAACGAAAATGCAAGGCGCATTACGTTCAAACGAGATCGTCAGAGGTAAACCGCGATGCACCATACTATCTCTATATAGTTACAGAATGCGTATACGAATACGTCGGATGAGTGTGACATTTGAAGAAACACTCGTCACCGACATCGTGTTGCATCGTGCCCGTTAAACTTTCACGAATTTTCCGCGACTCGTGAAAGCCCGTGAAAATAAATTTTCAATGAAAACAGCGCCTCTTTTCGAATGAACCATAAGGGATGAATTGCAAAATTAATGTTGCTGCGTGAATACATATTCTATTCCTGTACGTTGTAATAACGGTGCGATAATTTCATTTACCGTTCGTAGCATATTGATATTGAAAGTCCATATTGCATAAGTATACTAAACGAGATTCTGAAAATATACAATATTTTATCGTAACATCAGTTCAATAAATTCAACCCAGATCTAATTTTCTTTGTGGCAATCAAAATGAATAAAGTATTATAGAAATGTAAATTAATCGAAATTTAAATAACATTTACAGTTATGAAATCGCAAATCCATATATAGCTGCTAATACATTTATAATGTCACATAAATTTTGTATGATCTTATTCCCCAGTCGAATGACCAATGATTGAAGAGGATCGGAAGATCAAGTCTCAAGAGTATATCCTGACTCTTTCATCTGACTTCATCTGGGAGCGGAAAGACTCTAGAAATAGTAAAAAATAGAGAAAAGCAAAAAAAAGATGCGATAAAAGGAAACTTTAGCAAACAAAAATACAGGTAAAAATACATAGAAGTGAAAAAAGATTTGAAGAATAAAGTATCAAGATAAATGTTATCAAAGAAGGCGGGACAATTTTATTCGTCCTCTTTTTATATGATAATCCAGTCGTATCGTGAATTCATGCCAAAAAGCAATTATCGGAGTCTCTTGCGTACGTATATATGCGTGTAAATTACGGGTACGCTTAGCGCATAAATTACAAAGCCTTCATTATGTCTATGTTAACGCGCGTTATGGATTTTCATTGGTAGGAGAGTACTCGGATTAAAAGAGCAAATGACTCGTAGGCCACGAATTTCGCCGTGGCAAAATCCCAAATTTCGCTCTACGGAGGCCAATTATCGGTGGCGCGTGTGCACGTGCCCGGGGTTATTCACGTGCCGTATGGTCCGTCGCCGTAATTCTCGTTTCCATCTAAATCGATGCGTCGCGCTCGCCATAACGAAGAATCCTTTAATACCCGCGCGATATTTCGCGCAAAAAATGTTCTTTAATAGCCGCGGTATTACGAATTAGAACGCAACATAATTTATGTTATTAATATGTTATTAAACATTAAACATTAATATTTATTAATGTTTAAAATTGCATTTTATTCAAATACATCATATTATTATAATACGCTGCACTATTGTTCGGAAATTTAAATACTAACATTTAAAAAAATAAGATTCGTAATGTAAAAGTTATAATAATAAGTTATTATTTAGTTATAATACAGTAAGCAATGTAAAAAGTAAGAGATGTAATATTTAAAAAAATTTTATTTACAAAATAAAAAAAAATGAAAGAAAGAGTCTTTAGCCAGCTGAGGAACTTTAACTGTAACGACGTTGCGAAATTACAAAGTTCAAAATGTTTTTGTATATATTTGTATATATTTATGTACAATATACTTGACTACATAATGATCGTTTTCAATCAACTAACCCTTTTCAGCGTAGCAAACATTTCATGGCTCTTGAGAATATCGGCCATCGTTTATTTATCGCCTAGTCGTGGTAGCTAAATTTCAGAAATAAGGACAGTAAAAGATGGAGATGTGAACAAGAATGGAAGATCCTAAATGAAGAAGAAAACGATTAAAAAAAGAGAAAAGACTCACCAAGACCGCCCTTCATAGAGCCTCTCCTTCTGGGGCTTGATAACAGAGTGATCTCGGTATCGGCATCGCCCATATCCGTAAGATCGCTGGTAGATCTTCGAGACATGTTTTTCTCGCTCTTTTCATGTTTCGAGCGTCCATTTGATCCCTCGCAATGACCTCGGCCGGCCTCGTCTAAGCATCCTTGACTCTTGTTGAAATGCCCGCCCATCTTTACGCTTCTCGACCTTTCGCCAGTTCCCTCGGCGGTTTTTTCCTGCATTCCCGTGGGACCTTCCAAAGAAGAGGTCTTGCCTGAGCTATTACTCTTGTATCCCGTGATCTCTCTATTAACACTCTTCTGATCCAAATCCGAGTTTCGATCCGTTTGCGGACTAGTTGCATCGTGCGACGTTGGAGTTAGGATCGTGGGTGATAAAGGACTGTTCAGGCTCGCCAAACCAAAAGAATTCCTCCGCCGATCGAAGAGCTGCGGACTCCTTGCGCCGTAACTGGATGACGAATTGACCGATCTACTGCGATCAATGACAGATGACGAAGTTGCCGATGCCGGATAGCTTGCGGTCTGCCTCAAAGTCTTGCGCGGATTGCAGAATTGAAAGATAGGCGATTTGCGACCAGGCGAGTGTAGTACATCACTATTGGGAGTCTTGGGGCTCCGCGGTGGGCCCGTGGCACGAGAGTAGTAACTGGGACTCCTGGAACCGCGCTGCTGCTCGAGCTCGCCGGCGCGCCCAAACTCGTCGAAGTCGAAGGTCGTATTGGGTGTCTCCGGGTAGTATTCGGGAGGGAATTCGAAGACCAGCGGAGTACCGGGTGACTTGGTCAGCGATTGGCTCTTGGTCGGACTCCGCTGTTCGGCAATCGGTATCTGCTGAAGACGTGGAAGCGCCGGCAGCTGCCGTGGACTCCTCGGGGATTTGAGATGGATCGATTGTCCGGGGCTGTTGGTCGCCATTTCCACTATGGAATCTCTCTGACAAATTTACCTCTCTCTCGGATCGCGTTATCTCTGACGATTCAACGTCCCGGCTCGACTGTTTATTGGGAGAAGCCCCACAGCTTCGTCATTATCGCAACATAGAAACGACCGTCGTTGGCTTTGAGGCTATGCCTGTAAATTGTCTTGTAACCGACTACAGCAGTCACCCTTCTCATTTCACCGGATTCACGACAGTTTCGATACCACGTAGATAAGACGTTGTAACAGAACAAGTGTGTTTGGCTTTAATTATTGTCCTGTAAAAACGATTCTTTTCGTCCATTAAGTACAAAGATTTAGGATTTCATTAAATTTTTGTTGAGAACTTGCAAAAAGTACAATTAAATAATTAGTGTAACAAAAGTTTTATATGTATATATTATTATTTATATGTATATATTATTTATATAAAGTTTTGTAACTAGTAGTAGTTTTTTGCAAGCAGAATTAAAGAATAAAGTATAAAAGAGAAGAGCTAAGAAGAGTTTTCGCATTATGCTTGTTTTATAAAAATGTTCTTATAAAAATAAAAATATTTAATCAATTCTCTAAAACTTTAGCTTTTCCGTATTACATTGAATTAACTTAAACAAAATTAATTAAATGAAAAGTCACTTTCTCTTATATTAAATCAATCGCTGATTAATTATGGAACGGTGAGATGCGATGTCATTGTGATATAGTGCGTGACCTATAACCGCAGGGTTAAAACGTACCTGTGTCAAGTTCATGATCAAATGCTTGTGAAACGCGTACATCGATTCAAATAAAATAAAATAAGAAAAAGTATGAAACACTTTGAGTTATTGCTCCCTATCTCTTTCTGTTCTGTCTCTTCCTCTCCTCTTTCTCTCTTTCTCTCTCTCTCTCTCTCTCTCTCTCTTACTGTCATTTCTATTCAAATCAAAATGGACTTGTCGGATACAATACTATGTGATGAAATAATAAGCACATTTCTAAGAAACAATGTTCAAACGGAACGAATGTATCAAAATGTATCGAATAACATTGCGATTTTTAGTCAAATTTTAATTATTTATTAATTAACACACAAAGTTATCAAAAAAATACAATATTATTCCGATGAATAATTTTGATAAATGAAAAATCCTTCAATCATTGAAAGCCATTTTCCAGACATCGCACGAGCAATATTCATCTACATGTAACCTACTATCCCTATTCGAATTGATGATAGATGAACACGCGTGTCGACGATATAAAGTAAACAGATACGACGCACGAGTACACGAGATTATTGGCCGAACTTGTTACACCAGTTAGCCAACTAGGGATTAACCTGTTGATCGTCGTTGTCGCGAAGAGTGCTGTCACGTTGTCTAGCCGAGCCGTCGAACGATGATGTCACAGTGCCCTCAGCTATTTTAATGATGGAATCAGCATTCCAGTGATTAAGGAGGATTCCGACTTCTAACGAAGGACACACTTATTCTATTCAATCGAATTTTGCGTCGTGAAAAGAACGAAACGTCAATGCCTCGAGGTACCTCCTCGGCAATGGCCGGCACGCTACTGAGGGGTTGCAATGTACAAGCCACCCTCGCACCCGCTTCGCATCAGCCGCAGACCACCTCTCTCCCGCATCATCTCGGTCCTGGGGTTTTGTTATTCTCTCCGCACGTGCTCTTTCAATAATTCGCTCGACGTTGTGTATATTAATAATTTTTATTGAATCTTAGAGATATTTAGAGAAATTTCATATCTTTTTAATTTTGATATATTGTTATAAAAGACGTCATGACAAACTGTACAGGATATTAATAATTTTCTTTTATTAAAAATTTAAAATTGAAACTATATTTTTTTATTTATTATAAATACACTTTATAAATGATTTTCATATTCCTTTCATGACACAAGTTATATATAATAAATCGATAACCATCTATATAAATTATATAAAAATATCTATCTTTGAGTTAGTTATGTAAAATAATCTCTTAAAATTTATGATTCATCTAGATTAAATTTTGGTATTTATATATTCGATTAAATATCAGAATGAAATATCGAAAAACACCATGCCACTTTTTGAGTCTAACTAACTTCTCAATCTATATAAGGTATTCCCCTGTCGATAGCTTCGAAACAATCTATCAAACAGGATTGCGTTTGTATTTGTGATGGAACTTACGAAGATATTGCAGGTTAGATACAACAGTGTCCAACAGGTAGACGTTTTGGTATATGCAGGCACACGTGAATCTAATATTGGCTTCTGATGTTGATGCAAACCCCTTTATCAATACAGTTCGGCCTTTAATCAGAAAGGCATAGTAAAGCACTTTAGAGGCCCTATAAAGGAATTTAATTTAGCTTTCTTGTCAGTCTGTAACATGAACATGCATCAATGATTAACATGATTCCATAGATATATGAATTTCTAACAAGAGTTTCTAATAAAGATACTCTTAAATTTAAATATCGAGCATATTAAATATTTATAAGAAAAAGAAAAAAAAACGCAAATTATATTATTTTGAGCTTAATATCAGATATCCCACGGAGCACAAGTCCATAAAAAATCTTTTTACAATATATAAATATAAATTATTGTTTAATATTTGTTTTAAACAAAGTACATGTTTAAAAGAATTAATCATATATAATAAAAAAATAATAATATTAAAATTTTTCTATTATATTATATATTAATTAAATTAGTAAACTTGTATGTTAAAAAATAATGTATAAAAGTTTAATTCATTTAAAAAATGATTGAAAATGATAGCATTCTAATAGTACTATATATACCTTAATTCGATTTTTTTAAAGCAAAAATTATTATAATTTATATTAAACAAACAAAATAAAAAACACATTGATATTACAATTTAACAAATTATCTATTATCTAATTATCTATTATCTATTAATTATTTAGAAAATGTATTGTTGTTTTTAACTGATTTTATCATTTGAGTATTGAGATATGTGAAGCTAGTAATATCAAAAGACCACCAGATAGCAGACACGTCTAGTGAAAGTATTATACAAAGATACTCACCATTCTACTAGTAATAAATCTTTTCTATTCTGCAAATATTTATGAAGCAAAACAATTTTACTTTAGAACTCAATATCTTAGAAAATATATTTTGTACAATAATGCGATGTCAGAACTTATGGAATAATGTTATTTTATTATATTTGACGTTTGATATTTACTGTGTTTGATGTTTATTAGAGTTCTTATCTTATTTATATATCCATTGACGAATATAAATAAAAAATTCTTATTAAACTCTAATTTTTCAAATATATTTATTACAATTTTATATACATTTTAACTTACAAACTATAAATTATTTATCGGTATGGATAATTATGTGCTTTCTAATTTAAAAAATTTTTTTCTTGATAAATTTACATACAGTCGTAGCCATTATACATGATCAATAAAACAAATTAAAATACTTCCCCTTTTCTCAGTAATAAAATAATTGTTTTGAATATGGCAATTTGACTTTACTAGAACGATGTAGTGAATGAAAGCATTTCAATTCTTTTAAGTAATTAGTTTTTGTAAAAGAAAATATAGATACATACAAATATGAACTTCATATGTATTTTTATTTGGTATTAATAATTATCCTTTAAATAAACAAAAGACTAATTATTTTCTATTTCATATTGATAAAAAAAAGAAATTTGGAGAACATAATAATAACATAATAAGCATTAAAATAATGTAAATAAAAAAAATATATATAATATTATATTTTAGCTTATATATGTTTATGTTACTAATTAATAAATATGTTATTAATTAATTTCACTGTAATATATGGAACAGAAACGGACATTTTCGATTACTTCAATCTATAACAAGCCATTTGTAACTTACTGTAAAAAAGGCTCATGTTATTATATATACATAAATATACTCGATGAGTAATATTATGTAGCTCGTTTCAATTTGCAATTTAAATTTGCAAAATTCTTATACAATAAATTCTTATACAATAAATTGATAAATTCTCTATAAATATTTCACATATTTCTACGTTCTTATATCTGCTTTGTTTATTTTACTTCTATATGAGTTAAATAATAATTATGTTAATCTTATCAAAAAAATATCTAAAAATAATTGTAAAGATAAAATGATATCCAATATATACATAAATAATATCGAATATGTACATCTTGATAAAAAATGATATTTAAGATAAAAGATAATTTATTTAATAAATTCCCATGGTGGGGAATATCGATAGACATCACTTGACATTCAAGTTCGGCAATTGGATTCTGCCAGTTATCGCGTTGCATGTCATTTTGATCGCCTGATGAACAAAATCTCGGTTTACAAGTGCGTTACGATAGAAAAATGTCATTAAAATTATTTTATATTGAATTTGATCGGTCGGATGCTATTTATATGCCCGGTAAAATTATCTGTGTCAATTATCATTGACTCAGTAAAAGAAAAACTATTAAAGGTAAATTATTTAAGTTTCTTAAAAATTATTTAAGTTTCTTAAAAATATATCGATCAACAGACAAAAATAGTAAAATTTACATAATATTAGCTTGCGTAATAATTATATACAAGATTACATCAGATCTGCATTATATTGATTTCGCATTATGTTGCTATTTTTCTATTTTTCCTTTTTTTTCTTTTCAATATATGTAAAAATATTCTTATATTAACAAAAAGTTTAATGTTAATATTATTTAAATTTAGCTTCGCAATTTTCGACAAAAATGAAAATTAAAGTTCAAAAATATCGCAATTTTTATTGAAGATTTGTGTCGTTAAACTGATATAAACTTTAGAGATTATCAATTCATGCAATATTAATGATAACATTGTAGTTAATAACAAACTTTTTTATGGAAATGTTATTCTCATTGATATTTTGATAATGCATTCAGAATTATGAGATCATTTCTAATTTTACGTAATAACTTTAGGAAATAAAATATTATTTTGTGCGAAAAAAGAGGGGTAAATAAATAATTATCATGCATTTTTTTAAATTTTATCAGAATATTCAACTTTTATGAATTTTTTACAGCTCAATAATTTAAACATAAATATATACTTAAACAAAAGGATATGCTTAAGCTAAAAGAGTTAGAACTAAAAGAATTATATAAATACTGCAAATGATAAATAACAAGAGAATTATACATATTAACATGATACAAACTGATATCTCATACAACTATTTCATAAAAATTATCAGATTCAATTTTAATTTGATGATTATTACAAAAAATACACAGACACGCGCGCAACATTCGCACCTGCATCCGTACTCGCACCCGCACGCATACATACGCACGCACCACCACACACCATACACACACACACACACACACACACACACACACACACACACACACAACACACCGCGCGCGCGCACACACATCACACATACTA